AGGCGGGAATCGAACTCACGCGGAAGTGGCTTCAGATTCTCAGTGCTGTGCTTTAACCCGCTGCGCCACCAGGGAGGGCCAGAATCTGATCTATTTTATACTGTATGTTTGCGAAGGCCAATAAGTTGCAGTTGACTGCTGAATCATGAAAATTTTAAAGGAACTTAAGAAGTCTGCTCTTACTTTAAATAATGAGGAAATGGAATAAAAGCATCTTAACCAGGTGGAACAGAATCGAAATGTACAGTTCTGGAGCAATATTTTTGGTTTTTTTTTGTTTGTTTGTTTGTTTTTTTGTCCCAATCAAGCCCATATGTGTGATTGCTTCTAGATTCAAGTGTTTCTCTTTAATTTGGGATTACTACAGATGCAGGTATTTGGACCATGTGACATCTCCCATGTGCTCCTGTTGCTCTCCCTCCTGCTTTTCTTATCTGAATATGTCATGATTTTGAAATCTATTTTTAAATGCAGATGAAAATGATGCCTGCCAAGAGAATGAGCGTGAAATGAAGCAATTCAAGTATTTAGACTGTTTTCACAAAATGCTGAGTTAAGAAAGTTCATTACAGCAGTTGAGAAAAAATAGCTCCATTGATTTGAGCAAATGAATGAGAAGATCTAAACATTATCAGGTCTTTTGAAGATAGTGTGATGATAAAAATTTTGAGATGTCTTGCTAGATTCTGGGAGAATGGTATGAGTGGGCCATTTGTGGTCCACTAATCAGGAGACCATGATACTGTTTCCATCCTGGGCCGGTTTACTCCTCCTTAGGCAACCTGGTGTTCCCCTGCTCCCAGGAGGTCACCATATTGATGACGAACTTAGTGTGGACACCGGATTGGCATAGGGCACTACAGCCCAGAACTCCTGGGCTCAAACCATCCTCCAGCCTCAGCCGACCGAGTAGCTGGGAATACAGGCGTGCACCACCATGCCCGGCCAGACCATTATATTGTAAAGTAGACCTCGGGTTCACCCAGCTCTGGCTCCAATTTTACCTTATTTGCGTGTCAACATTTGGGTTGACTTTGGCCAAGTGTTATTAATCCCTCTAAACCTCCATTTATCTAACAGGTAAAGATCTGTACAGTTAATGGATTGATGTTTATGAGACTGTCTTGTTCTTGGGTGCTTAGGAAATGTGGCTCCCTTTTTCTCCAGTTTTCTACAAATCTCAGAGGCAATGATGTTGCTAACCAATCCTTTGACTTTAGTACTTGGCTGTGCCCCCTTCAAGGGAGCATGAAGAATGTACAAGGTGGCAGTTGACCTTTGAGGACCTTTGGAAACTCAGTCCATCACAACATTGACTGCCTCTGCTAAAGTTACAGCAGGACAACAGAATCAAAGGATTCCATCATGCATCTCATATATTGATAACATCAATTCTGAACCCTATATTCCCCCCACCAGCCAAATCATCTACCTGATTGCTTTTGTTTAGCTTTGTGCCTTGAATACATATTTTTCCCTTTTTAGCTTGCAGTTGTATCTCTAAAAGATGTTTCTTCAATTAAAATAAAATCAGAATTTTTTTTTTATGCTGACCATTTTGCTTAAGACAGAAGACCAGTTAAAGACAAGCAGGTCTTACTTTCTGTGAAAAATACTTGGCAGCTAGCTTTTGTAATTATGAAGCAATCATGTTAATAGATGTTTAAGAATAATGCAAGCAGAGCTTTACTGAGTCAAGGATAGACATAAACAGAGGAATTTTTTTCTTTTTTCATCTAGTGCTACTCTTTAATGCCCAGGAAGGAGTTTTAAATCATTCAGTGGGCTACAGAAACTAAAGACACTTAAGTTTTTCTTTTTAGGGACAAACCCAAGCTCAGCCCCCTGCTGACTGACATTGTGCCAGTTTTATTCAATTAGCTCTCCTCTCCACCTTTTGGCTTTGTGCCTTGAATATGCTTTTTCCTTTGTGCCTTGCAGTAATTCAGATGGTATTTTAAAGGAACTTCAATTAAAATATTTCAGTAGCTACTTAAGCTTTTGCATCTACATACAAAGATAGCTAATCCCATTACTTCTCAGCATGTTTACTAGAAACCCTGGTCTTTAAAAACTACTGTGACCAACGTGTTCCATGGTCAAATGAATTTGGGGAACACAATTGTTCTTCTTTTGTAGCATCACATACTTAGCTAATTAAAGTTTCTGAGAATTCCTTTTGGAAAAGGTCACATTTAACTTAGTTTAACCTAGTATTTCTCAAATTTACTTGATGATAGAACTTTTTTTTTTTTCCAATACAACACCTGGTAATTGGGTGACCCCAAGGGATAGGGAAGGTTCCAGTTTCTCTTATTTCACCCAAGAAAGGGAGGAGCTGAGAAGGAGAAGCAAAGCTGGAGAAGAGAATGAAGAAGGAAGGGGAGCCAGAAAGAGACCTGAGGGAGGCACATGAGCAGAGAAACAG